TTACTATAAACATAAAACAATTTTTCTCTTACCATGCTGCCATACTGTACCATCAATAGCTTAGTTTAAAAGATTAATACTATGATAAACTTAATTATATTTGTTACATATACACATGGATGGGGAGAAAGAGAGACAGATAACCTTGGTTTAACAATGAGGTATTCTTTTAGCACTGCATCTAACCCTACCCACTTAACTTTGATCTTTTCTTTCTTTTTTTCCTTTTCTCTTTAGTCCTTGGCATTATATACACTAAGTAAGAGGTAAATGGAATCATTATGTTCTATCCTACCTTCAGCATAATCTCCTTGCTTAGTGACTAGGAAAAATCAGATGAAGCACATGTTGGGAGAGATTTCACAGTGAACTCATGATGTCTTTTTACGCGTCACCTAAGCATGTTACTGTGACTTCTAGAATTTAAAAATTATATTACAAAAGACTTCTCTATTATTTATTTATTTAGAGTTTTTTTGCCTTAAGGTGGGTATGTGCACCAGAAAGAGAGAGACAGAGACAGTGAGAAGGAAAGTGAGAAATCACCCCTCTGGAGAGATGGCTATGCTGCAATCCCTTTTCCTCTATTCTCCTCCTGGGATCTTGGGCATGCAGGTACACCTGTCAGTGTGATTTTGAAGTCACTGGGTCCTGGACTCAGACCGCGGTCAGCTATGTGGGAGTCCAGCAGCATGACCACTCTGCCATCTGCTGGCTCCCCAAAAACCTTTATTTATTCATTTCTTCCACAGAAAGAAAGAAAGGGGGGGAGAGAGAGAGAAAGGTAGAGGGAGGGGAGAGAGAAGGATGGGGGTGGGGAGGGAGAGAGAGAGACAGAGGGAGGAGGAGGAGAGCAGACACACGTGTGTGTGTGTGTGTGTGAGAGAGAGAGAGAGAGAGAGAAACAGCACCCTGCCCAGGGTCTCGATGCTGCAGTCTCAGCCAGCCCTGGGTCCCAGGCCATACATGCCGGTGCACTCAGGAAGGTCTCTGCATGTGAATCAGGAAGACCTTGGCGTACAAGTCAGCCTCACAGTGTCACATTTTCGCACTGTGCCAATGTCCAACTTTTGAATTTTTTTTGAAGACTGACTAAATTCTATAGTTTTGTTCAGTATATCTAAATACAGATACCTCAGTAAAACAGATAATTTTTTTGGGAGAGATATTTTTGCTATAGGGCATGTGCACTCATTGGAGAGGCAGAGAGAAAGAGATAGACAGAAAGCAAGAAATCACCCTCTGGGGGAATGGCCACACGGCAATCCCTTCTTCTCCATTATCTTCTTGGGATCTTGGGCATGCACACACATGCACCACATCAGTTTTAAGTTGCCGGGTTCATGGCTTGAACTGTGATTGACTACATGGGAGTCCAGTGATATAACCATTACACCATCTTCTGGTCCCACAGATCAATTTTTTTAAGTCTAGAAAAATAATGCTTAAAGGAAAAAAAAACAAAGCATTAAGATGTATCTTCCTTTTACAAAAACATCATACCTTAATGATGACTATCTTTGGCAAAAACAGGAAAATATATTCTGTAAGCATCTAGTTAAATCTAGATCATTAATTATAAAGAACAATCAGGAGAACTTATTTATTATTTATACGGATACTTGCTAAATTTCACAATTAAGTAAAACTTTAAAAACTTACCTCCTGGCTCCAAATTTATTGAGGTCAGTTAAATGTGTTGTACAAACTGCTGTAAGAACTCATAATTATAGAATAGGCAGTGTATTATGTTGACATTAGTGAACCTTAGTTTCTTCTTTGCAGGTTATTCTGGAATAGGTATAATTCTGAGAAACATAAAGTCCGAGAAAATAAGAGAACTTGCTGAAGAAGAGAATATATATTAAAAACAGAGGTCAGCAGGTGGTGTGGTAGTTGGGGTGCTGGACTCCCACATGGACAACCATGGCTCAAGTCCTAGACCTGGTGGCTTGCTTTCTCAATTTTCCAGTCTCTCTCTCTCTGATGAGTGCATGCATCCTATAGCAAATTAAAATAATAATAATAATAGTAGGGACAGCAGGTATCATGGTGGTTAAGGTGCTGGACTCCCTTGTGGCTGACTGTGGTTCAAATCTTGGACCCCGTAGCTTGAAACTCATGCCAGGAACATGTATGTGCATGCCCCAAATCCCAAGAAGAGAATGGAGGAGAAAGGATTGTAATGTGGCTAATTCCCTTCTCCCTAGGGGATGATTTTTCACTTTCTTTCTCTCTGTCTCTATCTCTCTGGTGAGCACACATACCCTATAGCAAACATCTCTCTCTCAAAAATAAATAAATAAATAAATAAATAAAATGAAACCATTCTAAATAAAATTTAAAAAGGCATAGTGTTTGTATTTTAAAAATGTATTGAAAGGTAGTATCTAGAGTGATGATAGGAGACAGTTTCATTCTGGGAAAATAGGACAGTAAATAGCTCTTGCATAGATTTTTTTCTTCTTTAGGTGCAAACTGAATTTTAAATGCACATGTTAAAACCTATTTTACACTTGACAGATATAAAAGATATTTAGTGAATTGAAAACTTTGCAGTAAAAACAATACATACCTCAGTAATTATATAAAAATTTATATTCATAAACCAGCTCATCCACTACTTTAAGTCCAGACCAAAGTCAAATTGGAAAATGATGGCTAAAAGGAGGACTTGGGTGATAAAAGAATACTCAAATTAAAAGTTTCAAATTTTGGGGGACCAGCAGGTGGCATGATGGTTAAGGTGCTGGATTTCCACATGATTGACTATAGTTTGAGTCTCACACTGGCAGCTTGAAAATGATGCTGGACAAGTGTGCGTGCATGCCCAAAATTCCAAGAGAAGAATGGAGGAGAAGGGACTGTAGGAGGACACGCCCTCTGGGGGTTGATTTCTCTCTCCCCTCCTGCCCCTCTCCCCACTGAGCGCATGTGCCCAATGGCAAAGCCATTTACGACAAAAACCTAAAAATAGTTTCACATTTTTGTTATTTTATTAGCCAACAAAGCAGTGAAATTTGTTCATATAGTTGACCCATTTTATTGAAGGTTTGCAAAAACATTTGAAAAAAAGTTAAAAGTTTACTTTTGCTGTTATAAAAGTGATAAAGTTTTATAGTTTAATCCAAAATAAATCTGGAAAATCTTAGCAAATTGAATAGTCTCATTTATTGCTAAGCATCATTGGAACTAAGGGACTTGCTGGTATAGAAATTCTTGAGCCCAATGGTACTTTGTAAAACAACTAGTAACAATACACAAAAGTTATGTTATTCATTTTGGTTTGTAATGAATTAAATTAGCTATCACTAAGATATTTTTTCTTGCCCTTTCTCTTTACACTTCACAAGAAGAGGGCTACATAACAAGAATTCAACTTGAAAGAAGGTTATTTGAGACTCTGGGTCCTGGTCCATAACTATTCTCAGAAATGTCAAATTGTGTTAGTTAACAAACAAAAGACATTGGCAACTAGTGTTTCTAGCATTTCTTCTATGCCTAGGAATTTCTCTATGTTTAGAGTGAAGAAGGTAAAAGAATTTTACCTTCGGGAACCAGCAGTTAGCGTAATGGTTATGTCGCTGGGCTCCCACGTAGTTGACCGCGGTTTGTGTCCCAGACCCGGTGGCTTAAAACTCATGCCAGGCGCGTGTGCGTGTGTGCCCAAGATCCCGAGAGGAGAATGGAGGAGAAGGGATTGCAGCGTGACTATCCCCCCGGGGGGTGATTTCTCGCTTTCTGTCTCTATATCTCTGCCTGTCTGGCGAGCGCATGCGCCCTATAGCAAAAATCTCCCTCAAAAAAACAAAAACAAAAACAAAAACCCTTTACCTTCAAGTCTTCGAAAGATGATGCTTACATTTTAATCTACCCTGATATTCATTTATTTATTTACTTTAAGAGAGATTTTTGCTGTAGGGTGTGTGTGCTCATTGGGAAGATACAGAAAGTGAGAACTCACCCCCAGAGGGGATGGCCACACCACAATCCCGTCTCCTCCACTCTCATCTTGGGATTTTGGGTATGCATGCACATGCACCTGGTGTGAGTTTCAGGCTTCTGGGTCTGGGGACTTGGACCATGGTTTGCCAGGTGGGAGTCCAGCAGTGTAACCATTATGCCATCTGCTGATCCCATCTACCCTGCTTTTTCCAGTTCAGTGTCCAGCTTTTAGCAGCTTGACTTTAGGTTCCAGGTAGCTGGCACAGCTCTGGGCACCCTTAATGGTCACTGTCAGGCTCATGCTGCCTTTTAAAGCTGCAAAGGAAGTAGCAGTACAGTCTTAGCTGGTAGGTTGAGAAACAACTGGGTTGGATTAGAAGTAAGAATTGGTCACTTTTCCCTTCACACAACCAGTGACAAACAACTGGATACTACTTTAACATCATACTTTGAACTCCCTAAAAACGATGAACAGCTCCAGAAGAAGCTTCCAAAGTCTGTGCAGTTACTTACTCTCAAACGCATATGTATGTTTAGGATATAATCATGGAGGGGAATACTCCAGCAACTATGGAAATAACAATCTTAACGTTTTACAGTAAAAATTTTAAAAAAGCTGTTTTAATGAATGGTTTCATAAACTAGCGGAGCCGACTTGGATTCCTAACGTTCTTCTCTGTCACTTGTGAAAGAAATGTTGCCAATAACATGGCAAGAATGTGTGTTTTGGCTGAGGTGGGATCACGGAACAGTAGCTCTTTGGAGAGCATAAGGAGGATATTGTTGGGAGCATGTGGCTTTGGGAAGCTTCCTTAGCCATGGGAGAAGGCTTTTTTTTTTTTATGTGTATTTTAAGATGTAATATTAATATACATGAATGATTGAATTTATGTGAAAGTCTTTATGAAAAGTCATGAAAGAACAAATAGTGCATTTTTCACACCGTAGTCCTTCTTTAAATCTAGTAGCTAAAATGGTGTAAGAGGGCAATATTGTAAGTGTGTATGGGTACAGAAAACAAGGTTTATATTTACTACTTTTAAAATTGTACTCAGGCACTTATATCCCAGTGGACTGCCTGAAGAATACTCCTTTTTAACTACTTTTCGGATGACTGGAAGCACACTTGAAAAGAACTGGAGCATTTGGCAGATTCAAGATTCCTCAGGGAAGGAGCAAGTTGGCGTGAAGATTAATGGCCAGACTAAATCTGTTGCATTTTCATACAAAGGCCTGGATGGAAGTCTCCAAACTGCAGCTTTTTCGAATTTGCCGTCCTTGTTTGATTCCCAGTGGCATAAGATCATGATCGGTGTGGAAAGGAGTAGTGCTACTCTTTTTGTTGACTGCAACAGGATTGAGTCCTTACCTATTAAGCCAAGAGGCCAAATTGATGTCAATGGCTTTGCTGTGCTGGGAAAACTTGCGGATAATCCTGAAGTTTCTGTTCCGGTAAGCATAAAACCACACACTATGGCAGATTAAGATAAAACCAGATTGCTAAAATGGATACCTCAGACATCTTTGATAATTAGCTGAATGTCGTACATGACAAACAGTTATTCACTTTAAAAAGTGTACTCAGTCATTCATTCAAAAGCCTTTAGGACTTATTTTGAGCATAGCCTCTTACCAGGTGGGATGTGGAATCAGAGAAAGTTCAGTAGCTATCTCCTGGTCGTGAGCAGCTTAAAGTCTACTGGGAAGCGAGTACACGCCCACTTGGAGCACCCAGAATGCTTCTGCGGCAACTTCAAAAGAAACTCATCCTGTCGTGATACGTATTGCATAAATATAATTAATAAGAATATTCAAAGTAAGGTTGAGATAAATGGTGGATTTGGTTGGTCAAGAATTCCTTGCTTCTTGGAAACAATGAACTTTGAAATGGAAGATTTAAATTGGCAAAAGTACAGAAAGTACGTTTGAGCTAAAGGAAAGACTTTCAAGTGAAAAAATAGAGACTAAGTAGGCCACATTCAAGGTCTAGGGATGGGCTGATCTGGATAATGTATGCATGTGTAAATGTGAGTGTATGTGGGAGGAAGCTTGAGGTATATCAACTGCAGCGTGATGAAAGATGAGCTTAGGAAGCCATATGGTGTCTCATCAATAAGAATACAAATGATATAGATAGCATAATAGAAGCGAGGAGGGGAGGCTTCAAAAAGCTCATGGAAAATAAGTATTGTGAAATATCTACACAAGGATTTCTAAATTTTTAAAAATTGCCAGGGCATATGTACTTACCAAGAGAGAAAGCACTCTCCAATGGAGTCTGGTCATGCCACAAGCCCCTCCCTCCATCTTGTCAGGATGTTGGGTACGCAGGTACGTGTACTTGGCATGTTTTTCCAGCCTTGTAGAATCTGGCTTCCTACCCACAGGGACCGACCACTGTGCTATGGGGCCAGCCTCATTTTGAGAGGTTTTTGCTATAGGGCACGTGCGTTCACCAGAAAGACAGAGAGAGACAGAAAGACAGAAAGCAAGAAATCACCCCCCCCCAGGGGGGATGGACATGTTGCAATCCCCTCTCCTCCATTCTCTTCTTGAGATCTTGGGCACACGCACACACACACACACACACACCCCACTTCAGTTTAAGCTGCCGGGTTCGGGACTCGAACCACAATTGACTACATGGGAGTCCAGTGACATAGCCATTATGCTTCTGCTGGTCCCTCTAAATTTTTTTTGCATCAAAATAAACTCATATTTTAAATCCATCTTTCCACGAACTTTTGGAAGTACCCTCATAATTATTTATTGCATCACATATAGGTAAAAAGAGTCTAAAGCTCTATTTATGACTTTACTGTACAGATCCATGGATATGAAGGAAAGGAATTATATAACAACACAGTAATTGTGTCAAAGAGTACCTTGTAGTTCTATTATTTTGAGTTGTTATACTTTCAGTGAACAGCTCTTTAAAAGGATATTATATAATATTGTGACAGGAATTTAAAAAGTATATCTTAGAGGACATGTGTTCTTTTGGAAGAACCAAAGAATTTTGAGCTCAATAAATAAACCATTGATGTCAACCTTCTCCCATACAATTCCCTCCACCTGCCTCACAGGTATGGAGCTGTTAAATTCTAGTCACAAAACCTGTATCAGGGAATGTAGCAGGGGTGAAACAATGATTTTGAACTGTTTCTGTGCACGTCTCCAAAGAGAAAAAGGTTTCAGGGATCTCAGTAATGGAATTGTTCAAATAACTTGTTTTCAAGGGAAGAATTGTGATTAGTGTGAAGGGTAGTGTGAAATTTCTGTATTCCGTGATGGACAGGAAGCAATTTGTAACTGCCACATTACTGTTCTGGCTTGTAGACTCTTGAGAAAACATTTCTACATCTAATGAGTTATCACACTTCAAGTGACTGGGTTAGAAGGTGGATGGGACCATGATTGTGCCATCTTGAAATTTTGTGCGGAAAGATCTTTGCAATAACAGTGGAAAAGTTTTCAGACAATCGTGAACCTCTGTAATATCTGTGTTATTTTTAAACCATGGAGGAGAGAGAAGACGCTTTTAGATTATCCTCTCACATGATGAATATCAATCAAGTACTTAAAAATTGATTTGTTGATTCATTGGTCTAAAAAAACCATTTCAAATCCTTACAATTCTGAATTCTGGGTGCTGGATGCTATTGAATTGTCTGATTGCCAGGCTGGTAAATCAAAGTGTCAATATGACTTCATTACACTGTACTCTTGCCAATAATATCATGGCTGATTGTAGGTTTGCTGCCAAATCCAGTCTTAGATGATAAAGAAGACCAGTTAGTATCAATTATCTTCTGTTTTTTTCTGCTTTGTGCAAGAACGCAACTGGAAACTAGCAGCTGGTTTTACATTATGCTTCAGATCTACCGAGGGGTGTTTCTATGTTAGTATAGGGTAGGTAATGTTAGAAGGATTTTAACAAGGCATGTTTAAATTACTTCCTTCATATTGAATTCGGACCCCCCAAACAGGAAACATAAAAGAATTGGCCTAATGCCCCATTAAAGGTCCATATTGGATGATGGTGGTAGTGTTGGTGGTAGTGACAATGATAACTACACCAGATCAAGATGACAGGCCCAAAATATCCTACGTACGTTCAAGATGTGAAAATGACAAGGGCATACTCAAACCTTACCAAAATGTATTCCTCAAACTTTATTAGAAAAAGAAGCAGAAACTATTTCAGACCATTCCCCTTCCCAAAGAGGGCTCTGTGTGGTGCTCACACGTTTTTCTTTTCTTTTCTTTTTTGAGAGGTTTTTGCTATAGGGCGCATGTGCTCGCCAGACAGAGAGATACAGAGAGATAGAAAGCGAGAAATCACCCCCCCCCCAGGGGGAATGGCCCCGCCGCAATTCCTTCTCCTCCATTCTCCTCTTGGGATCTTGGGCACGCATGCACACGCGCCTGGCATGAGTTTAAGCCACCGGGTCTGGGACTCGAACTGTGGTTGACTACGTGGGAGTCTAGTGACATAGCCATTACACTAACTGCTGGTTCCCCCTTCATGCCCTTTTTTAAAAAGCATTCTGATATTCTCTATATAGCCATTTAAAATTTTCAAAATACTTTCATTTCCATGAACATATTTGATCCTTGCCACAACTTTGTAAGATTAGCAAGATAAGGTTATCTCTATTTCTTGGCTGAAGAGGTAACTATAAGAAGGTCTATTGCCTTATAAGAAACAGTATTAGGCATAAAATTTCTAATCTACCTATTTTCTTCTATATCAAATAACTTTATTTTATTTTGAGAAAAAGAGAAAAACATGTACACGTACATCTTCCTTATAAAGCATCTCTTATTCTTACTTTGAGGTCTTCTGACTTGCATAGATCTTTCAAAGTTTACTTTGCAGAACAAATAAAATGAATGTTAAAAAGATGAAGGAAGAAGTGGGTCAGTAGGTACGTGGTGTTTAAGGTTCTAGACTCCCACATGGTTGACCACAGTTTGAGTCCTACACCTGTTGGCTTGGAAATCATGCTGGGTTGTGACCAGATGATGGCAGGATGATTATGTTGCTGGACTCCCACATAGTCAACTGTGGTTGCAGTCCCAGACCCAGTAACTTCAAACTCCCGCTGGACACATGTATGTGCGTACCCAAGATCCCGAGAGGAGAATGAAGGAAAAGGGATTGTGGTGTGGCTATCCGCTCTGGGGGGTGGTTTCTTATTTTCTGTCTCTGTCTCTTCTGTGAGGGCACATGCCCTTTAGCAAAAATCTCTCTTTCACACACACGCACACACAAAAGAAAGAAAGAAAGAAAGAAAGAAAGAAAGAAAGAAAGAAAGAAAGAAAGAAAGAGAGAGAGAGAGAAAGAAAGAAAGAAAGAAAGAGAGAGAGAAAGAAGAAGAAAGAAAATCCCACCAGGCATGTTTGCATGCATGCCCAAAATCTCAGGAGGAAAATGTTGGAGAAGCGACTGAGGCATGGCATTCCCACTGAGGGGCTGATTTCTCACTTTCTCTCTCACTGTCTCTGTCAAGTGCATGTGCCCTATGGCAGGAACCTTAAAAAAATAAAGGGAAGATTGTAGAGTATAAAACATGTCTTCAGATATTAGTCCTACTTGTTTATGCATTCAGTACTTTCATTTGAGTGCCTATATGCTGAATATATGAAGTCACATGAATCACAGACTTTGCGTTTTTTATTCCATTAAGGACAAGGAGTTAAGTAAACAGTCACAATATAATATGGTAAGGACCATGATAGTGACAAGTGCTGAGTGACACAGAAGATGGTCCTCTCTCGGAACAGGTCAGGAAAGCATGAGAGTGAGGTCAAGGATGTTTCCTAAATGGGATGATGTCTGAGAGGAATCTTGGTACGTAAGAGTTATCTAGGAGAAGAATGCAATGTTCTAGGAAGAGGGACTCTCATTTGGAAACTTCCACACCTATCAACCCTTCTATTCTATTCACAAGCTTTTTTATTTTTCTTCCCACACTGCTCCTAAATTTTTTTTTAAATTTTATTATCATCATAATCTTCTTTATATTACATTGGATTACATATAACTTTACATTGACTTCCATTGCTTTTTCAAAAGGGAATGCCATGCATGTCAGTCAATACAGAGACATTAATCTCCCCGCTTTATCATTCAATGTCTTTTCTATGTTTTTCCCAATAATTATTATTATTATTATAATTTTTTAAAACAGTCAATCACTATTTCTCATTTTGCTTGTTAAAAGACTTTACCCATCATGAAATACTTCTCAGACCACTGCTCCTAAATTTTCAAAATGAAAAGTAACCAAATACAAGAGGACTTTAAAGTCTTCATGAACAAGTGGAATTTGAATATGAGTTGTTTTTGGTAAAATAAAACAAAATCCATCTATAGTTTTCTTCATAATACGTATTTCTATGAAATTTTTGAGGATCCCTCATATTCAGACAAGTCCACAGGCAAA